GTTTCCTATTTATCGGGAAAACACAAGTATGGCATACAATCGGATGCTTGTGACATGAACTGCACTTCGTGTATCTATATATTCTCTTGTAATAAGGCAACAAATACGAGAGGCCAATTTATATATTTTAATTAAATTGTCTATGAGCATTTCATACAAGCAGCGATGTTCAACTGACCAGGAATCTAAAACAGATGTTCCCACACCGGGAATTGAACCCGGGCATTGGCGGTGAAAGCGCCAAATCCTAACCACCAGACCATATGGGACGTTGTCGTATGAAGACGTTTCCTATTTATCGGGAAAACACAAGTATGGCATACAATCAGATAATTGTGACATGAACTGTACGTCGTGTATTATATATTCTCTTGTAATAAGGCAACAAAAACGAGCGGCCAATTTATATATTTTAATTAAATTGTCTATGAGCATTTTATACAAGCTGCGATGTTCAACTGACCAGGAATCTAAAACAGGTGTTCCCACACCGGGAAATGAACCCGGGCCTTGGCGGTGAAAGCGCCAAATCCAAACCACTAGACCATATGGGACGTTGTCAATTGAAAGCTTTTCCTATTTATCGGGAAAACACGAGTATGGCATACAATCGGATGCTTGTGACATGAACTGCACGTCGTGTATTATATATTCTCTTGTAATAAGGCAACAAATACGAGAGGGCAATTTATATCTTTTAATTAAATTGTCTTTGAGAATTTTATACAAGCTGCGATGTTCAACTGACTAGGAATCTAAAACAGGTATTCCCATACCGGGAATTGAACCCGGGCCTTGGCGGTGAAAGCGCCAAATCCTAACCACTAGACCCATATGGGACGTGTCGTATGAAGGCATTCCTATTTATCGGGAAAACACAAGTAAGGCATACAATCGGATGCTTGTGACATGAACTGCACGTCGTGTATTATATATTCTCTTGTAATAAGGCAACAAATACGAGAGGCCAATTTATATCTTTTAATTAAATTGTCTTTGAGAATTTTATACAAGCTGCGATGTTCAACTGACTAGGAATCTAAAACAGGCATTCCCACACCGGGAATTGAACCCGGGCCCTGGCGGTGAAAGCGCCAAATCCTGACCACTAGACCATATGGGACGTTGTCGTATGAAGGCATTTCCTATTTATCGGGAAAACACAAGTAAGGCATATAATAAGATACTTATTCCTATTTATCGGGAAAACACAAGTAAGGCATATAATACGATTCTTGTGACATGAACTGCACTTCGTGTATTATATATTCTCTTGTAATAAGGCAACAAATACGAGAGGCTAATTTATATATTTTAATTAAATTGTCTATGAGCATTTTATACAAGCTGCGATGTTCAACTGACCAGGAATCTAAAACAGATGTTCCAAACCGGGAATTGAACCTGGGCCTTGGCGGTGAAAGCGCAAAATCCTAACCACTAGACCATATGGGACGTAGTCGTTTGAAAGCGTTTCCTATTTATCGGGAAAACACAAGTATGGCATACAATCGGATGCTTGCGACATGAACTGCACAAAATCCTAACCACTAGACCAAATGGGACGTTGACATTTGAAAGCGTTTCCTATTTATCGGGAAAACACGAGTATGGCATACAATCGGATGCTTGTGACATGAACTGCACGTCGTGTATTATATATTCTCTTGTAATAAGGCAACAAATACGAGAGGCCAATTTATATCTTTTAATTAAATTGTCTTTGAGAATTTTATACAAGCTGCGATGTTCAACTGACCAGGAATCTAAAACAGGTGTTCCCACACCGGGAATTGAACCCGGGCCCTGGCGGTGAAACCGCCAAATCCTGACCACTAGACCATATGGGACGTTGTCGTATGAAGGCATTTCCTATTTATCGGGAAAACACAAGTAAGGCATACAATCGGATGCTTGTGACATGAACTGCACGTCGTGTATTATATATTCTCTTGTAATAAGGCAACAAATACGAGAGGGCAATTTATATATTTTTATTAAATTGTCTATGAGCATTTTATACAAGCTGCGATGTTCATCACCTGACCAGGAATCTAAAACAGGTGTTCCCACACCGGGAATTGAACCCGGGCCTTGGCGGTGAAAGCGCCAAATCCTAACCACTAGACCATATGGGACGTTGTCGTATGAAGGCGTTTCCTATTTATCGGGAAAACACAAGTACGGCATACAATCGGATGCTTGTGACATGAACTGCACATAATCCTAACCACTAAACCATATGGGACGTTGACATTTGAAAGAGTTTCCTATTTATCTGGAAAACACGAGTATGGCATACAATCGGATGCTTGTGACATGAACTGCACGTCGTGTATTATATATTCTCATGTAATAAGGCAACAATTACGAGAGGCCTATTTATGTCTTTTAATTAAATTGTCTTTGAGAATTTTATACAAGCTGCGATGTTCAACTGACTAAGGAATATAAAACAGGTATTCCCACACCGTGAATTGAACCCGGGCCTTGGCAGTGAAAGCGCCCAAATCCTAACCACTAGACCATATGGGACGTTGTCGTATGAAGGGCATTTCCTATTTATCGGGAAAACACAAGTAAGGCATATAATAAGATACTTATTCCTATTTATCGGGAAAACACAAGTATGGCATACAATCGGATGCTTGTGACATGAACTGCACAAAATCCTAACCACTAGACCAAATGGGACGTTGACATTTGAAAGCGTTTCCTATTTATCGGGAAAACACGAGTATGGCATACAATCGGATGCTTGTGACATGAACTGCACGTCGTGTATTATATATTCTCTTGTAATAAGGCAACAAATACGAGAGGCCAATTTATATCTTTTAATTTAATTGTCTTTGAGAATTTTATACAAGCTGCGATGTTCAACTGACCAGGAATCTAAAACAGGTGTTCCCACACCGGGAATTGAACCCGGGCCTTGGCGGTGAAAGCGCCAAATCCTTACCACAAGACATATGGGACGTTGTCGTTTGAAGGCGTTTCCTATTTATCGGGAAAACACAAGTATGGCATACAATCGGATGCTTGTGACATGAACTGCACGTCGTGTATTATATTTTCTCTTGAAATAAGGCAACAAATACGACAGGCCAATTTATATATTTTAATTAAATTGTCTATGAGCATTTTATACAAGCAGCGATGTTCAACTGACCAGGAATCTAAAACAGATGTTCCCACACCGGGAATTGAACCCGGGCATTGGCGGTGAAAGCGCCAAATCCTAACCACCAGCCCATATGGGATGTTGTCGTATGAAGGCGTTTCCTATTTATCGATAAAACACAAGTATGGCATACAATCAGATGCTTGTGACATGAACTGCACGTCGTGTATTATATATTCTCTTGTAATAAGGCAACAAAAACGAGAGGCCAATTTATATATTTTAATTAAATTGTCTATGAGCATTTTATACAAGCTGCGATGTTCAACTGACCAGGAATCTAAAATAGGTGTTCCCATACCGAGAATTGAACCCGGGCCTTAGCGGTGAAAGCGCCAAATCCTAACCACTAGACCATATGGGACGTTGTCATTTGAAAGCTTTTAGTATTTATCGGGAAAACAGAAGTATGGCATGCAATAGGATGCTTGTGACATGAACTGCACAAAATCCTAACCACTAGACCATATGGGACGTTGACATTTGAAAGCGTTTCCTATTTATCGGGAAAACACGAGTATGGCATACAATCGGATGCTTGTGACATGAACTGCACGTCGTGTATTATATATTCTCTTGTAATAAGGCAACAAATACGAGAGGCCAATTTATATCTTTTAATTAAATTGTCTTTGAGAATTTTATACAAGCTGCGATGTTCAACTGACTAGGAATCTAAAACAGGTATTCCCAACCCGGGAATTGAACCCGCGCCTTTGCGGTGAAAGCGCCAAATCCTAACCACTAGGCCATATGGGACGTTGTCGTATGAATGCATTTCCTATTTATCGGGAAAACACAAGTAAGGCATATAATAAGATACTTATTCCTATTTATCGGGAAAACACAAGTAAGGCATATAATACGATTCTTGTGACATGAACTGCACGTCGTGTATTATATATTCTCTTGTAATAAGGCAACAAATACGAGAGGCCAATTTATATATTTAATTAAATTGTCTATGAGCATTTTATACAAGCTGCGATGTTCAACTGACCAGGAATCTAAAACAGATGTTCCACACCGAGAATTGAACCCGGGCCTTGGCGGTGAAAGCGCCAAATCCTAACCACTAGAACATATGGCACGTTGTCATTTGAAAGCGTTTCCTATTTATCGGGAAAACACGAGTAAGGCATATGATAGGATACTTATTCCTATTTATCGGGAAAACACAAGTATGGCATACTATCGGATGCTTGTGACATGAACTGCACAAAATCCTAACCACTAGACCATATGGGACGTTGACATTTGAATGCGTTTCCTATTTATCGGGAAAACACGAGTATGGCATACAATCGGATGCTTGTGACATGAACTGCACGTCGTGTATTATATATTCTCTTGTAATAAGGCAACAAATACGAGAGGCCAATTTATATCTTTAAATTAAATTGTCTTTGAGAATTTTATACAAGCTGCGATGTTCAACTGTCCAGGAATCTAAAACAGGTGTTCCCACACCGGGAATTGAACCCGGGCCTTGGCGGTGAAAGCGCCAAATCATTACCACAAGACATATGGGACGTTGTCGTATGAAGGCGTTTCCTATTTATCGGGAAGACACAAGTATGGCATACAATCGGATGCTTGTGACATGAACTGCACGTCGTGTATTATATTTTCTCTTGAAATAAGGCAACAAATACGACAGGCCAATTTATATATTTTAATTAAATTGTCTATGAGCATTTTATACAAGCAGCGATGTTCAACTGACCAGGAATCTAAAACAGATGTTCCCACACCGGGAATTGAACCCGCGCATTGGCGGTGAAAGCGCCAAATCCTAACCACCAGACCATATGGGACGTTGTCGTATGAAGGCGTTTCCTATTTATCGATAAAACACAAGTATGGCATACAATCAGATGCTTGTGACATGAACTGCACGTCGTGTATTATATATTCTCTTGTAATAAGGCAACAAAAACGAGATGCCAATTTATATATTTTAATTAAATTGTCTATGAGCATTTTATACAAGCTGCGATGTTCAACTGACCAGGAATCTAAAATAGGTGTTCCCACACCGGGAATTGAACCCGGGCCTTGGCGTTGAAAGCGCCAAATCCTAACCACTAGACCATATGGGACGTTGTCATTTGAAAGCTTTTAGTATTTTTCGGGAAAACAGAAGTATGGCATGCAATAGGATGCTTGTGACATGAACTGCACAAAATCCTAACCACTAGACCATATGGGACGTTGACATTTGAAAGCGTTTCCTATTTATCGGGAAAACACGAGTATGGCATACAATCGGATGCTTGTGACATGAACTGCACGTCGTGTATTATATATTCTCTTGTAATAAGGCAACAAATACGAGAGGCCAATTTATATCTTTTAATTAAATTGTCTTTGAGAATTTTATACAAGCTGCGATGTTCAACTGACTAGGAATCTAAAACAGGTATTCCCACCCCGGGAATTGAACCCGGGCCTTGGCGGTGAAAGCGCCAAATCCTTACCACAAGACCATATGGGACGTTGTCGTATGAAGGCATTTCCTATTTATCGGGAAAACACAAGTAAGGCATACAATAAGATACTTATTCCTATTTATCGGGAAAACACAAGTAAGGCATATAATACGATTCTTGTGACATGAACTGCACTTCGTGTATTATATATTCTCTTGTAATAAGGCAACAAATACGAGAGGCTAATTTATATATTTTAATTAAATTGTCTATGAGCATTTTATACAAGCTGCGATGTTCAACTGACCAGGAATCTAAAACAGATGTTCCACACCGGGAATTGAACCTGGGCCTTGGCGGTGAAAGCGCCAAATCCTAACCACTAGACCATATGGGACGTAGTCGTTTGAAAGCGTTTCCTATTTATCGGGAAAACACAAGTATGGCATACAATCGGATGCTTGCGACATGAACTGCACAAAATCCTAACCACTAGACCAAATGGGACGTTGACATTTGAAAGCGTTTCCTATTTATCGGGAAAACACGAGTATGGCATACAATCGGATGCTTGTGACATGAACTGCACGTCGTGTATTATATATTCTCTTGTAATAAGGCAACAAATACGAGAGGCCAATTTATATCTTTTAATTAAATTGTCTTTGAGAATTTTATACAAGCTGCGATGTTCAACTGACCAGGAATCTAAAACAGGTGTTCCCACACCGGGAATTGAACCCGGGCCCTGGCGGTGAAACCGCCAAATCCTGACCACTAGACCATATGGGACGTTGTCGTATGAAGGCATTTCCTATTTATCGGGAAAACACAAGTAAGGCATACAATCGGATGCTTGTGACATGAACTGCACGTCGTGTATTATATATTCTCTTGTAATAAGGCAACAAATACGAGAGGCCAATTTATATCTTTTAATTAAATTGTCTTTGAGAATTTTATACAAGCTGCGATGTTCAACTGACTAGGAATCTAAAACAGGCATTCCCACACCGGGAATTGAACCCGGGCCCTGGCGGTGAAAGCGCCAAATCCTAACCACTAGACCATATGGGACGTTGTCGTATGAAGGCATTTCCTATTTATCGGGAAAACACAAGTACGGCATATAATAAGATACTTATTCCTATTTATCGGGAAAACACAAGTAAGGCATATAATACGATTCTTGTGACATGAACTGCACTTCGTGTATTATATATTCTCTTGTAATAAGGCAACAAATACGAGAGGCCAATTTATATATTTTAATTAAATTGTCTATGAGCATTTTATACAAGCTGCGATGTTCAACTGACCAGGAATCTAAAACAGATGTTCCACACCGGGAATTGAACCTGGGCCTTGGCGGTGAAAGCGCCAAATCCTAACCACTAGACCATATGGGACGTAGTCGTTTGAAAGCGTTTCCTATTTATCTGGAAAACACAAGTATGGCATACAATCGGATGCTTGCGACATGAACTGCACAAAATCCTAACCACTAGACCAAATGGGACGTTGACATTTGAAAGCGTTTCCTATTTATCGGGAAAACACGAGTATGGCATACAATCGGATGCTTGTGACATGAACTGCACGTCGTGTATTATATATTCTCTTGTAATAAGGCAACAAATACGAGAGGCCAATTTATATCTTTTAATTAAATTGTCTTTGAGAATTTTATACAAGCTGCGATGTTCAACTGACCAGGAATCTAAAACAGGTGTTCCAACACCGGGAATTGAACCCGGGCCCTGGCGGTGAAACCGCCAAATCCTGACCACTGGACCATATGGGACGTTGTCGTATGAAGGCATTTCCTATTTATCGGGAAAACACAAGTAAGGCATACAATCGGATGCTTGTGACATGAACTGCACGTCGTGTATTATATATTCTCTTGTAATAAGGCA